CCAAGGAGGAGCAGTCGTTATTCTCGAGAGATGAAATGTTTGGATTAACTGCATAATTCAAGTACGATGTAGAATTAACAGGTTTCTCGTAGAACTTCTCTTGGATTGAATTAGAAGGGTTGAGAATTGCAAATGAGATACCTACCTAAGATCGATTGGACGATGTAATTATTGACATGTCACATCTATCTTCTATTAATTTGTAAGCGCTGAATTCTTTCAACAGAATAAACTAAGAACTTTCGCGCAAGTTGAGTTGATTGAACAATTTTTATCGCATTAAGAGTACACATTCAATCTTGCTATTTTTTAAACTGAAACTTTCGGTAAGCTCAACCATTTTTATCGCATTAAAGGTACATGTAATCTCGTCACTTTTTAAAATTGAAATCTCGTAAATCCTTGGACTTTCAAAGTGATTATCTCAAGGTAGAGCCAGGGCACTTTACCCGGTCAAATCCCTTTATTCCGTCATTATGGATAGGATTATAATTCGAAAGGACAATGGGTTACTCAACCCAGAATTAGTTAACTTGAACTCGAGCCGAACTCGATACAATTAATCCTCATGAATGTGGAAAGAGAGATATCGCATGACATCGCTGATATACCTCCTATTATATCTTTGGCGTATCTACTATATACAATATTATATACGTATTACGTAAATGTAATTTTCCTGCTTTAAATATACGTAATAATGTGTGATCCATTGGTACTCATTTCGATTCATTGATTGCAACAACGTGCTTTTTCTGTTACACATACGCTTTTTCTGTATACATCTTAAATTTCATACATGACGAAACTTTCACTGTTGCACGGCTCTGCGACGATGGTTTTCAGTTGCAGCATTACGTAAAAACGTGCATGGAGACATTTTTTCGTCCAGTTCACCTCTTGCTGCAGTTCCTTTCTGTAACAACCTATCGTATGTCCCGTGATTGACGAAACAGAAAGAAGAGAAAAAATACAAACAGCAAAAATAGTAAATAAATGAAAAAATCTGAATAAAATTTAGAATCGATTTTTATCTCTTTTTTCAGAGATTCTTAAAAAATTTGCCTATAAAAATAATACGAATAATATACGAGTATTTTAATTGTGTGGCTCTTTTAACGTGTCGTATAATTATTCGAAATATACGGCAAAAAATCCTGTTTACAACTAAATGGCGAAAAAAAGGATTAATTTCTAAATAAACGGCGCCATATATCACTGTCCGCTGCAAGCGTTATCTTCCTGTTACTTCGACGCCACTCGGGATAATCGCCGTTTTACAAATGGTCTGCCATGAACTCGATTCGACAGCAGGCCGTTATTAAATTAACAGAAAAATCCTCGTTAATCATGGGAAAGAGGGCAGGAGGTACACCCTCGAGCCTTCGAAAGGGCCATAAGTCCGGTAAGGTCTTACGTCAGCGCGCAGCCGATAGGCTCACAATCAGCGGTATCGGGGCACGTCAAACAATAAAGCACGTCATATCGTTAATTTTCTGCGCGAGGGGGGGAAAGGGAGAAAGTTCTACCGCATCAAAGGTCGCCCGTGAACGATTGTTGCGTAAGCCCGCAATGAGGGGCAGGGGGTTGCACCAGGCATACCCCGCCTGACCAATGCTGGCTAGGCGAGAAATCGCGGTGATCGGACTTGCAATGTATGTAACTATGACTACCACGATACCGGATATAAGCGCTACATCCTTTGTTCACACTGTGCCACCCCCCGTCTTTTTCTATATGTTCCAGAACTTATGTAGTATCGACTAATTAGTTTCGCCATGATCTAAATGATGAAATATATGTATTTTACGAATGCATTTCTTAAAACCGAATCAATAAGGATTTCTAAATACATAACTACTATACATACAGAACGAGAATATTTTTTACTAAAAAAGTTCTAGGATATGCTTTACATATATACTTGACGAATAAAAAAAATGGCATTTTATTTTCTGCAAAAGGCTCACAATGCTCGCATTCCTTTTTATCTATATAAATTTTTATTTAAAATATTTTAATGATAATTGTGTATACCTATCATGAATCGCATATGATAAAGATAAACATCGATTTTTCTTTAGAGAGTACGAACGTCGAAATCGATAAAGAGCGGCGTAAAAATGATACTTCTTTTAATAGTACGCAATTCGAGGCAATGAAATAAAACGTACGATCAAACGGCTGCTTCAGGCTCAGCTTTGCGGATTCTTATTGCGAAATGCGCTCGTAATACCGCGATCGCGCGAATGCCGATAACGCGAAAATATGTCGGCGATAATATAAGAGCGATGGCTGATAGTATATCAATGCATCTTATTACTATCCCGCCACAGTAGTGCAAAATTAGATTTAATTGTTGGATATAAAACGGCCTCAATGATCGTATAAGATTGTACAAAGTCTGGAATTTTTCATTCAGTAAAATTGTTCGCGGATGTATGATTTGTACATAGTTAGCGTAACTGACGCAATATTCTACAGGTATTTATCTATATGCTTGCAACGTACGCATATAATACATATATATTTCATATACGTTCACGTACGTATATACATTGCGTTAAAGCGCACTGGTAATTATAATTAGCAATTCTAAAATGATAAAAAAATTAAAATGTAAAATTATGTTAATTACATATAGATTTAATAATTATTAAAGTAATATATATTATCATTAAAATTAATATTTCCTGATTATTAAATATATTAACTGTATTATAATAGTAAAAAATAATAATAATATACTGCAGCAATACTATTCATTTCCTATTCAATTAGTATTTAAATATTTAATCAAGATTTAATATGATATGTTACATAAATAAAATTACGAAAATTCTGTTATAATAATTTCTTCATAATTAAAAACTTGAAAATTTTTTATGACATAATAATAATAATTAAAAAATTACAATTGATTACCCGACAGATATTATCATTGTGACATTTATACCAAATATCGATAACGAAATAATGTGGAAAAATTATACACGATTCATTTGTAGATGGCAGTAAAATGCTTTTGGTTAAGTTGGGTTAAGTTTATCACATGATAACATAACCTCTCTTTAGTGTTTTGAAGTTGTGTAGTGTATAGAGCAGATTATATATTTTTATATAATTAAAGGGTCAAATAAAAATTAATTTTAGTGGATTTCTAAAGATATTATTTGAGATTATATATAATTTTTATTTTTATATCTAGCTCTTTTATAATAATTGTTTCCTGGACTACAAAATCAGCTAAAGACAAAAGGCTCTTTTCCCGGTAAGTTTTGTTTAGATTTTATTAATTTTATTTAACTCTATCGCAATCGAAAAGTATAAATATATTTATGTAAAATATTTTGACAACTAAAAATTACAACAGAAAAATTTAAATTTTTTTACCTGTAGTATCTCTCTATGTAAAATTATTTAATATGATATATAATGTACATAATTACTGATTTATCAGACATCAATATCTCTTTATATTTCAAAATGAAACATTAGACGTTTTTCAATATTCTAAGAAAAAACAGAATATTATTGCTTATTCATAGTGTATTATTTAATTATTTATTAATAGAGCTATCAGAGGATCAAGTATATGTAAGGCAAGAAATAAGCAGCTATATATTTTAAATATCCACAACACTACAATTATGTTGGTTACTTCGAAATATGTTTCATATATATCTCCTAGTATACAAGGTATATGTCAGCCGTTCATTAAAAGATACTCTTCAAAGTCTGACAGAATTAAAAGGTTGATGAAAGAACATAATTCACTATTTGGTCCGTTAGTTGAAACAAGAGCCCAAAAGAAGAAAAGACTAAAATTAGAGAAAAAAGGAAAGATACTCCCTCAAAAGCCGAATATGGTAGATACAGAAAAGTTCTGGATTATGGAGAAAACTCGCCAAAAACTCACAAAGATTATTTTCACTGAGCCACAAAACGAGTCATCAAATGATAAAGATTATAGTTCTGTGAAAAACTTTAGCGAGATGGAAGTTCAAAGCTCAACTGATCAACCTACAGAAACTCTTTTTCATTCTGAATCCAATCAAGTTGCCAAAGAAATAGAACTTGGGTTTACTAACACAACATCTGATTTGTCAACAAAAAATAGTAATAACGAAGTTGCATTGCCCAACTCAAATGTATCTGATAATGAAGACGCAACCACAAAACACATATCTTCTAAGTTTGAAGGACTGCCTGACATTATTATAAAGAACTTGCTATCTTTTCCAATTACGAGCAGCAAGCAAGAATTGCCCATGCAACCAACAGAAATATTATCTGTATCTGGGAGAGATGATCTAGAGACAATGAAATTTCCTAGTGTAACTAAGATTCTTTCGCAAACCATGTCACCAGAGTCAAAGTTAGCTTTAGAGGCATGGAAGGAGAGAATGATAAAGAAACTCGGGCAAGAAGGATTTGAAACGCATCAGAAAGGTATTTGATAAGTTGTTTCACGAAAAAGAGGAATTTTAATTTTTATATATGATAAGCTTAATAAATCTATTTGCTCCTGGCAGCATTGCTAGAAGATGGAGCATCTTTTCATTCGTGCATAGCACACAACCTGCTCGGAAAAGAGTATGAAGTGCCATCAAGAATCGAACCGGTTTTTCAGAGCATTCGATGCGTCTTAGGGGATGTGCACGACGTGAAAGCGATCGAAACACATGTAGCTCATATGAAATTGCGTTACAAAGGCGTAGTCGACTGCATAGCCTCTTATAGGTAAAACAGAAGTTTTGCTTTGCCATCGTCAGAAAACTCTATTTCTAATCGAAACAGGCAAGAGGTCACTGCCTGGTTTCTAATCAGCTCTTTATTTTATATTTTTTATTGTAAAATATGTGTATATGCTCTAAATATGGCTAATATAAACTGATTTAACCAACTACTCTATATTATTCAAGTAAATGATAATTTTAGATTGAATTCTTAATATTTACAGTTTATTTATTAAATAAAAAAAATTATACTTTTATGAAAAATTGAAATTATCTTTTTTTAAAGATCGATTTAAATATCAGAGATATAAATTTTGAAGATGTTTTCTCGAATATTCAAAGGATAAAGCTGAAAATACTCATTCATTATAAATACTTATTCATTATAAATATTTTTTATAAATAATATCCATGATATTTTTCAATACTTTTCTCTTTGGTACATTTTTAATTTGTTTTTAATAAACAGATTTTTGAGAATATGGTATTTATAACTTATTTTACGTAAAAGTTTTGTTTGAAATAATATCCCGAATCTTGACATTATTTGATTTTCTCAAATATAGTCGACGTCTAGTAAATTTATTATTTTTATATACTATAATTTTTCAGATTTTATTAATTGGCCTGATTTCTCTGTTAATCCATATTCACAGAAATAGAGTTTCCTGAAATTTGTTATATATACTTTGTACAATACATGTAGGATTTTAAATTATAACAATTTTTATTTTCACGTTTTCCAATGATAAAATTTAAAATCATATATATATATGTATGTATGTATATACAAAATAGTCTCACATGTACATACTAACCCGCAGGGATGAAAAATACTTAATCGATTGGAAAAAATCAGATAGAAAAAAATTGAACTTGAAGGAAACGTATGACGCGCCTGTACAACTCGCCGCTTACATTGGAGCTATCAATGCCTCTAATCTGTATCCCTTTGTGGTAAATATCCCGTCACAATAAAAATCTCACTTAAAAATGATAGTCAAAAACGTTTTTTATTTTATGGAAATTAATTCGTTTTCAAGTATTGTCACTTTATTTACTATATTTGTTCGTCAAGTGCTTCGCGTAATAAAGATAGTTGCTTTCTTTTTTTATTAATGTTACTTTCTAAAGATATAATTGAACAGACAGCAGAGCCACTTTTCTAAGACAGTCGTGTTCCTCGTGTTTCTTCAGATAAAACGAGGATTACTCGTGATTGCCTACACGTGCGGCACACCGGCAACAATCCACGAAGTGTCCAACAACACGCTGCAGCAATACTGGACAGCGTGGCTGCGCCGCCTGCAAAAGTACCACGTGGAAACGGCGACGGGCGGCGATGACAACGGGAACATTCATACCCCAATAAAGCATTAATGTACCATGTCGCATATATTCATTAAAACTTTCCCGCACAAAAGCCAATTAAATCCTTATCCGTCAGCCACAGGTAACTCCCGGCAGGAGTCGGGCGGGAGAAGTTTTTAATTCCATCCTTTGCGCGTCAGAAGTTGCAATAATCTATAGTCTTCGGGGAGTAGTTGGGAAAGCCCTCTCCGTAGGAAACCGAGAGGACGCGGGGATACACAGCAAGAGAGGAAAAGGGACCGCGCCGATACGCCGACTTATTAAGCCCTGCGGTCGGCTCGGCATTTATGATTTATGACAAACCTATGCGCGCATTTTCCGCGCAACGCTACGGGGTAGCGGGGGTTATTAAGAAAATACGCGACGGACGCACTGTAATTTGCAGAATACATTTACGCTGTTATTAAAAGTATTGCAATTTATAAAAGCTTGTATTTTTTCAAAGTTCGTGAAACCTCAGAAGATTAATGTTCCCCGATCGAGCTCGGAGAAGTTTAACGATTAAAGCTTTTTCCGACGAAGGAGATATTGTCTTTTTTTAAAAAAAGTTCGCAGATTCGACGTAAACATATTAATTTTTTATGCTATTGTTGCATCGCTCCAATCCAAGTTAACTAAGAAGTTAACTTTTCCATTTTGGACCTTGATTTCATGATAGTTTTATGCTCAATTTTGATATTTATTATTGAGTTGTTTGTCGAGAACTTATCTCGCTTCCAAACAGACTTTTGATTTCGCGAGCACTAGCGTCGCAGGTGAAGAATAGTGTAACACTAAGAACGTAATGAGCAGGCCGGAAAAACGCGGTCACCATCCCGGTCGTCGAGTTAACATACAGCAATTATAACTTTCGCCAGCAGGGCGGAGGAGGTCTGAAGGGGGCACTACGTTACGCGGCACCCCGTTACAGAGCCCTATAAACATTGCGACCAACCCTTCGTGCGCCCTTGGGGATCGTAAACTAATGGTGAAGCGGTGTAGCAGAATTATATCGTTCGTTGTTTCCGCATACCTGGATCACACATAGAGATCGGGCGTATATCGCGCTAGGATATCAGATATTACGCATCCTGTACGTCCAAACGGTCTGTGACATATGTGGCAGTATCAATTTGCAATAATATTGTTGTCATAATGGTACGTTAGCTTGAATTTTCACATTTTCGTTTTATTCTTTTTTTTCACCTATTTCCTGTTTGCAAAAATACTGTGTGCTGTGAGACGTTCATCACTTCTTGCTGCATTTTTTTCGGATATTAATATAAATTTAGAACCTTTTATAAATTCATATTAGCTTTTAAATAAATAAGGAAATAAAATTGAAAGATAATAGAGTATTATAATAGAGTAAATATTTTTTGCTTTTGATATTAAAATTCAACTTCTTTACTATATTACGTTATAATAAACTAAAAATTTAAAATGTTTAAAAAGCTGCTTATAATTACGATGACAAAAGAAATCATAAAAATTTTAAAAAGTCCTTAAAAAATTGTATTTAATGAAAAAAATATACTTACTGGAATGTCAACTCATTATTTCACTCGAGAATTTCTTTTTCTTTTAAAATTGTTTATTTCCTGTGTTATCTTTTATTCCGCTAATAATACTTTCATACGCTTTCCACGATATTCAGCTTTACAAGCCCCTGCAAGCGGGGTACTGTTTTACATCAAAGAAATTTTTTATTAAAATGCAAAGCAGCTACACAAAGCAGTTACTGATCTTTGTTTTTCGTGAAGCAGATATCATTATGGAACAAATGCAACATGTTGACGTACCGATAAATAGAAAAATGAGAGAGAGAGAGAGAGAGAGACTTATGACTTATTTTGTCTGCTCGTACTGCTTTCACAATAGCTATAATTAAAAATCCTTTGAAGAAATTAATTCACTGATATATTATCAACTCGATTCAGTACATTTCTGTTAATTAGAAAATATTGAAAAGATCATTTTGAGTGAGCGGATATTGCTAGGAAAATTCAGTGATGATGCAGACGCAAACGAGAGATAATCGTGAGATAATCACAAAGTATACCACGGTAAACCTGACAACGTTGATTCAGTGCAAGCATCGTTACTTATGATGCATTTCTTTCATTTCCTTGCCAGGAGGATTCCAGATCAGAAGAACGAGGACCTACTGTACCGCAATCCGTTTTACGTAATACAACGCTAACGTTGCAAAGTGATATTTAGTGCGGGTCGCGGATTTATCCGTCGAGAATTCCGTCCGTTTGCGCGTAAGTACATCCCCCGGCGTCCTGCCGACATCCTGAGAGCAAAGACAACCATATTTCCGGATTAGATATTTAGCGAGCGCCCAGTCCCCAGATGAATCTAAATCTCACGGCTAAGCCCCGCTAATCCTCCCCGTAACAGCGGCATATTTTCATCGGCCGGTCGATTCCCCCCTTTGAACGCGAAGAGTTATGAAAACGATAACTTTAACTCGTCGGACGAACCCTCGCTCCCTCCCCGCCTTTGTCCCCCTACGGACGCGCAAGATCGGAGAAAACTCGGGGAAAATGTGCCGCTGGAACTATTGAGCTCGCAATTTATCGAAGACCTTCCAAGCAGGATGCCCTCCAAGCGATTTCTTATATTGCTCGTCTTTAATGCAGCGACGAATGGCAGCGGATTTTTATTAAGTCCACACCACGATCCGATAAACCTCCAGCAATTTCTCATTCTACTATAAATATTGTGCGAAAGCTTTCAATAATTCTTAATTATATTTTCAATTCCGAGATATGTTTTCGAAGCCGCAGAATAATTGCAAATACTAAATTCGAAATGCGATATCTTGATAAAGACACATTTAATACGAAAGCTGAGACTTTTAACAATTTCTTAATGTAAAAATTAATGATTATTTTAAATGTGTGATATTAAAAAAGGGTAAAAGAATAATAATCTTAATAATTTTTATTAATGAAAATATTTTATGCGTTATATAAAGTGTATTAAAATATATGCGGCGTACTCTTGATAATTGTGCTTTTTATCTCTTTAAAGCTTTATACATATGCAATACTTTTTCCTGGAATTGTAAAACATTTTCACGCCAGACTGCGCTATCGGGAGCAATCGCGAAATTGTTCTCCATGATAGAACCGTCGGCGTATTTCTCCTATTAATAGCCGGTCGAGTACGCCGCTCAAAACTTTTCGTCTCGACGCGTAACAGTCCCCGGGAGCGTAAGCGCGTCTGCAAGAGATCGCAATAGAGCTCGGCTGAAGTCATCAACGGGCAAACTGGAGCACGTCCGAAATTACGAAGTTTTCATCGTCCTGCCAACGTCGAGAAATCTCTCGACGTCAATATCCTTCAGAGAAGTTCGGACCGGGGTAGGGGTAGGGTCCGCGTCGAGACTCTTCCGACTGACGCCACGCCGAGTGGCGAGTGCCTTCCAACGGCGAAAAGTTTATAAATACGATGGATGGGGGGGGGAGGGGGGTCGACGTTCCGACGGAAAATCGACGAGCACGAAGACCGATGATAAAGGCAGAAGCGTCCATCCGTCCGAGGAGGAGTCTCGCTTGCCCGAATTAATCCTCCTCGGGCGCGCGGCGCGGCGCGACGCGACGCGACGCGACGCGACGCGCGGCGCTTCATCGTGCATGAATTATCGATCGCCACCGCGCGCGCAACGGTCACGCTACATTTGCCTTCCAATAATAATTAATAATCAAGCGAAGCGAAGCGCGCCAGGGCCAACTTACAAAGGACCGGATTACACGCGAGACGGGAAAACGACCATGCTGGTGTCAGTGGATCTCTCTGAGCGTTAGAGGATGCACCCCGCGCGTCTTTACGCCGTAACTTCGGCGAACCTGACTCCCTGCATACTGCGGTAACTGAATCGATAAGTAATTGTTTACCAATAAGGGGAATCTGTATTTTTTGGGAAGCTTGTGAAGTAATGCAACGTCGATACATGATATATAAAATTATAAATATATATGGATAATTTTTTGGAAATAAATATATAATATTCATTTGCTTCTTTATTATTTTAATATCATCAGTTATAAATTGTTTATAATATATATTAGCCCTTTCAACCATTTCGTCTTTTAACTTTGAAAGGTGTATTTATTTTACTATAGGGTAAAAAGCGCCCTTCGCGGTAAAATTAAGTAAAATAAAGTGCCTTTACGTTGTTACACGTACTAACAAGAGCAATTTTGTCGCTTCTACAAAATGATCGTCGTTTCGTAAACACTGCGTCGGGCGGCTTATGCACTTATAGTGCACATTTCGCAACGCGGTTTCTCCTTGGGGGACTTGCTCAGGTAGCACACCTGTGGCCAATTAGCGAGCGCGCATTAAAAGCTGTTCAAACTGCGTTCTGAAACGAAACGTCGTGTAATTGTGTCCCGTTATTGTTGGCCCGCGCCCAGACCGCGTGTGCGTAATAATGCGGCATCTTGCCGTCGCCGAAATCAATAAGGCACGCGGATAAAACATTCGCGGGATACAGCGGGAAGGAATCTGCTAGGTTTCATCCGCGATGGTGGCGAGTGCTCTTAATGAAATTAGTTTCATTTAACAGCCGCAATATATAATTTCACGAGATCCTCAAGTTCTTTATACACTGAATATATAAGTATCATATTTCAAAGAATATACTTTAATCTACGAAACGCACATCAGATAACCTGCAGCTTTATTTTTTTGAAATTAATTAGTGAAGTTTTTAAAGAGTCAGAAGAGTAAAAAAAACGTATGGAGATCGATTTTTTGAAAATTTAATTTTTTCGAGAAAAATTCGTTGAGAACTCTGTCGTTGAAAAAAAAAAATAACGGATTTTGTGAAATATTCTCTTAAACAGAAAAGAACATTATTTTTTCGGGGTTTTTTTTCGAACTAGATGTTGCACTTTAGCGCGATCCCGAAAAGCGCCGATTAAACCGAAGCGAGTGGGGAATCAGGGTGCAAGTAGTTTTCCTCTGTGTGTCGTCAAATTCGCATACCGTAGTACTTTCGCAACCGGCTTGGCTCGTATTGCACAACTCTCGCTTATACCCGGTGTGTTCCTCGTCGCGCAATACGTCATCGAGCCGCTCGCGAGCAATTTCACGGGGTGCTATATCTCACCGGGGGGGAGAAAACTCCCCGGCAGAGGTATATTGCGAAATCGGCGAGAGATCTGCCGCAAGCCTGAAAATATAACTCCGGCTATAGCGGGAGGGCCGTACTCTCAGTTCCCCGATGCTCCTATTTCTCGGGTTCGCGCGCCGGATTTCGGTCGAAAACAACGCGAGGAATCAAACTATCTTTTTCTCATACGTTTCTAAATGCACCAAAATAGATTTTTCACCAGCGATCTTCGTACGTAATTATTTACCGTAACTTTTCAACGTTAGATGAGTTTCTCGGCAATTAAAACCTAGAGTGAATTTCTGTTGAAATTATAT